CAGGAAAAGTGTGTGTCAGAGTTGTTTCCTTTCACCACGCTTATTCCATCTGTATGCTGAGAGAATAATCCAAGAAGCTGGACTATATGAAGAGGAACGGGGCATGAGTATTGGAGGAAGACCCATTAACAACCTGTGATATGCAGATGACACAACCTTGCTCACTGAAAATGAAGAGGACTTGAAGCACTTACTGATGAAGATCAAAGACTACAGCCTTCAGTATAGATTGCATCTCAACATAAATAAAACAAAAATCCTCACAACTGGACCAATAAGCAACATCATAATAAACAGAGAAAAGATTAAAGTTGTCAAGGATTTCATTTTACTTGGATCCACAATCAACACCCATGGAAGCAGCAGCCAAGAAATCAAATGAAGTATTATATTGGGTAAATCTGCTGCAAAAGACCTCTGTAAAGTGTTAAAAAGCAAAGATTTCACTTTGAGGACTAAGGTAAGCCTAACCCAAACCATGGTATTTTCAATCATATGCATGTGAAAGCGGGACAATGAATAATGAAGATGGAAAAAGAATTGGTGCCTTTGAATTGTGTTGGTGAAGAATATTGAATATACTAGGAATTGCCAGAAGAATGAACAAATCTGTCTTGGAAAAAGTACAGCCAGAATGTTCTTTAGAAGTGAGGATGGTGAGACTTAGTCTCATGTACTTTGGACATGTTATCAGGTGGGATCAGTCCCTGGAGAAGGATATCATGCTTGGTAAAGTGGAGGGTCAGCAAAAAAGAGGAAGACCCTCAAGGAGACGGACTGACACAGCGGTTGCAACAATGGGCTCAAACATAGCAACGATTGTGAGGATGGTGCAGGACCGGGCAGTGTTCTGTTCTGTCGTTCATAGCGTCACTATGAGTTGGAACCAACTGGATGGCACCTGCCAAGAATATTTCACTGTATGTGTGTACCACATTTTATTTATCTGTCGATGGACATTTAGGCAGTTTCCACCTTTAGGTTAATGTGAAAAGTGCTGCAATGAACATGGGTGTCCAAGTATCTAAGGAGCCCTGGTGGGCCAGTGGTTAAGTGCTCGGCTGCTAACCAAAAGGTCGGCAGTTCGAACCCACCAGCCACTCTTTGGGAGAAAGATGTGGCAGTCTGCTTCCGTGAAGATTACAGTCTTGGAAACCCTATGGGCAGTTCTACTCTGTCCTATATAGTCGCTGTGAGTCAGAATCAACTCGATGGCAGTGGGTTTGGTTTGGTTTGAATTTCTTTTAATCCACATGACAACCTGCAATGTCCTTGCTATTATCCCATTCTTAAGTTGAGAAAACAGGCTTGGGAAGGTCAGCTAAGGAGTCACCAGCCTGTGAGGGCAGAGCCGCAGTTAGAACCTTGGTCCCGGGGCCACTTGGAAGCATCACTCTGCTCTTATTAAATCAGTAGCCCCATTAATTAGCTTGTGATTATTCAGTTTACAAATGATTCTCCTGGAAGGTGATTTTAAAGCAAGGTGTGCTGTCACAAAGACCTAAATTGAATTGCAATTGTCAAACAGATGCTGCTTCCCCCTTTGGAAAGCACTCGTCCACCAAAGAGCCACGTGCTCTGCCTTGTCCACAGAGATTTGCAGCCGAGCCGCCTGGGGCCAAGTTACTCATTTGAATACTCAATTACACATGTATTAATCCTGCTTGTGTGCTTCTATTTCATTACATAGTGAATTCCATGTGTTCAATCTTCCTTGCCTGCTTATCCAAAAGAGAACTCTTAGTGTGTGGTTAAGCAACAAATTGTCACTGTTACATGTCCTCAGAAAACATCTTAACTGGTGGCAGCCCAACTGTCTTTGGAATAAGACAGAGTTCAGAATAACCATCATTGTGCTCTGGGGACACTCATAAGCAGCACCCAAGAGACTGCAATTATACTCGATTAGAATTCTCCCACCCCCCAAACAAACCCTTGATTCATGAATGTACACTTTAGGCATCAGGCGTTAGAATAAATTAGACTATACAATTACGCGTAATTAAGGGGGAAAATGTATATACTATACTGCAAAGATTAGGCCCGTTTTGCTGAAGTCAAGCAAGTCTATGTCAGCGTGCTGGCCCAGGGAGGTGGCGTGAAATACAATTAATGTTTGTCTGACTTAATGGTGGTTTACGTTGCTGTTTTTCATTATCATAATATCTCAAGAAACATAAACAGTTTGTCTCTAATGTAATTGCATTTCTACTGACAAGACGGCTTGGGTCTAAGCGAAAACTCAGGCAGAATTAACTGTAAATTTAGATGGTAACAGATGATCCTGGAATTTGTATTTTGAAACCCGTGCAAAATTGTCCTGACTCAGGAGCTGAGGGTGGCTCTTCAGCCTTCTCTGCTCTCCTTTGCAGATGTTCCAGCCAAACTTGTGCGCATTATTAAAGCCACCTGTGCCCCAGCACAGCACCTCAAATTCCCAAGCCCTACACCCACCCCCATCTTTTAACGTTTCTCCTTTACACGCCAATTTGTTTGAGACATGTTAAAAGCTTGACTTTTACAACTCTCATAAAATCCCATCTACTCCAACCCAAAGTCAGCTAGAAGTGCTCAGACAATCAGACTGAGTTTCAGCCTCTGGTGGAAATAAAGAAACACACCGCAAGAGAGGCCCGTTGTTGTTGCTGCACGAGTCACGGAAATAAAACAGCGGCTATCACTTTGCAGAGTAGATAGAACCCGACGGACGTTCTGCACAAAAGCGCTGCCAAGGAACTCGCAAAAGGAAGAAGCAAGGCCTACAGGTGTCGAGACAAAGGTCCCTAAGAGGTTAAACCAACAATGGGGGGAGCCTCGGGGCGCAGAGGGATGAGCTGGAAAGGCGGGTTATCCAGCCAGGACAGTCACCATCACTGAGAGATTTCATCAGGCTGAGGAGAGACAAACAAGTGTGAGTGGGGGCGGGCAGGGGCTGGAGAACCAGGAAGCTGAGAGTGTCCCTAGAATTCCCCATAGACCCCGCCTAGGCCTGGACTGAGTCCCAAGCTGGAGACATCTGAGCCTGAGGCCCCTCACGTCTCCCAGGCAGACACTGAGCCCCTGAGTGGGGCCCGAGTCCCCACCTGCCTGGAAGGAACCTGGAAAACTGAGACTGAGACATTGGACACAGAAGACAGTGGAGTTGGCTGTGATTATAGAAAACCAATGTGGTTTTGCAGACTTGCGCTTTGCAGGCCCTCCTACCCCCATGAGTGTGTGAGCTGGTGCTTGAAGTCCTGACCACAGCTGCCTACGATGAACACACACACAGATCTGCCCCCTCCTCCCTAAGGAAGAGTAAGGAGCAAACATCGCCATGTTTGGTCTTTGAACAGCAACTACAGAAAGAAAAATCCAGTCTCCAACAAACACCGTAGGCCCAGCCCACAGTCCCCACCTTCAGGGTCAGGAGTATTCCCATCACCTCCATGATTGGGTTTCCCTGATGAGGAGAGAGGAATGGAGCAGAAAATTGTGGGCAGGGCTCTTTTGGGGGAGGGAAGGCCATGTTCATGAACTTGAGGCCCGCAGGAGAGCAGTGTGCAGCAATGCACTGGCGTAAAAATAGTTTGCAGTGGAAATTTCCCCATCCCCCTGAAATATTCTGAAAACCCCCTGAGAACCCAACATAAAAAGCAGGTAAAAAGGGAGCTCCCACCCCTGGACCTCCCTGCCCCACCCCAGGCCCCAGAGGCACCCCCAAAGGTCCAATTAGAAAATCACTGCTGCAGTGGGGTATGCACCCCAAAGTCAGACACACTCTCAAGTGGAACCCCGCTTGCCAGCTTTGTGACCTTGGGCAAGTTCTTTTGCCTCTCTGAACATCAGTTTTCTGGAAAGATCATTAAAAGGATTAAATGAGATAACCTCGTGGAAACACTCAGCAGTGGACCAAAGAACCTACTAGAGCTTCGACGTTCAATATGGTAACCCTTAGCCACACATGGCTGGCCTAAACTGAGATGTGCTGTAAGTGTAAAATGCACTCTGGATTTCAAAGACTTAAGAAAAAAGAATGAAAGATATCTCATCAGTAATGTTCTATATTGATTACATGTCAAAATGAAAGTGTTTTGGATATGTCAAGTTAAATAAAATATATTAAAATTAATTTCACCTGTTTCTTTTTAGATCTTAACAGGGCTACTAGAAAATTTAAAATGATATACATAGCTCGCCTGAGACTTCTGTTGGGCAGCTCTGTACTAGAGGCTGTACAGAAATGTGTCCTTCCCTCGGGAGAGATGAGGCAGAGGGGGGGTCCCCGTTATCTTTGGTACTTGATAGTGAAGAAGCAAACCTGACATTCTGTTTCAAGACAGAAGATCAGCAACTTCAGTGATGTCACAGGTGGGGCCAGGGACCTGATTTGAAAAAGAAAGCCCACAGTTCCTCTAATATTTATACTGTACATTGATCTGGGAGTCCCTAGGTGGTACAGTTAATGCGCTCAGCTGCTAACCAAAAGGCTAGAGGTTCAAATCCACCCAGTGGTGCCTCAAAAGAAAGGCCTGGCAATCTATTTCCAAAAAATCAGCAACTGAAAACCTGTGGAGCACAGTTCTACTCTGACACACGAGTCGGAATCAACTCTACAGCAACTGGTTTGGTTTGGGTTTATGAGGTGGCTAAGGGAGATTATAAGGAGCCCTGGTGGCACAGTGGTTAAACCAATCAACTGCTAACCTAAAGGTCAGCAGTTTGAAACCACCAGTGTACTTGAGAAAGATGTGGCAGTCAGCTTCCACAGAGAATTACAGCCCTGGAAACTCTGTGGGGTCACTATGACTCTGTGGCAGTGGGTTTCGTTTGGTTTTGTTTGGTTTGGAAGGGAGATTACAAGAAGCCCTGGTGGCACAGTGTTTTAAGCGCTAGGCTGCTAACCAAAAGGTTGGCGGTTCCACCAGCCGCTCCTCAGGAGAAAGATGTTGTAGTCTGCTTCCGTAGAGATTTACATCCTTGGAAAACCTATGAGGCAGTTCTCTACTCTGTCCTTTAGGGTCGCTATGAGTCAGAATTGACTCAACGACAACAGGTGTCTTTAAGGGAGATCATGTGGGCTGGGGATAAGTCTAGAGCCCCAACCCAGCTGCCAGATAAACACAGGGCACCCAGTTAAATTTGAATCAGATAAACAAGCAGAGTTTTCAGTATATAAGTATGCCCCCATGGTCGTTCTCTATTTTTATTTGCTACATCAGACAACCCTAACTAACATGAAGAGACTACACTGGACAAAGCAGATACCTCGTTTGGAAGCAATAATAGCCTAACATTTAAGAGCATAACTCTGAGGCTAGGCTTCCTGGTTTCAAATCCTGGGTCTACCACTTAAAATTGTGTGACCTTGGGCTAGTTACATAACCTCCCTGTGAGTTTGTTTCCACAACTGTAAAATGGGTATAATAATAACATCAATAGGGTATTATTAGTTTAAATAAGTTACTATTGCCTATAAGCACATTTTTCATCAGGGTCTGTTTCCCCTTAGAAGCTCAGCTGTATTTTCTGCAGCTGCTAGTTGGTTCTCTGCTTGCTCTTTGCCCACCTCTCAGCCCTGTCCCCTCTGTCCCCTTCCAGGCTCTTCTGTGGCGCTGAGAACAATGGAAACCGCGGTAGACAGCGCCACCTTGAGTTGAATTCCTCCCCTTTTGGAAGAAGCTGATTTCTCCTTTCTTATACCCGGGCCAGTTCTGGGCAACGGCTGCTATTTTCACTTGAGCTCAAGTTAATTTCTTGGGGAGCTTCCGGAGCGCTTGGGAAGGTCCCAGGCGCGTGGGCAGTTCACCCTGCGATCTAGCTGTGGGCCCCGGCTCCAGCCGGCGTCTCCAATGGTAAATGTGTGGAGTTAGAGGCGAGAGCCCGGCTTTCAGCAAAGGCGGTCGGTGTTTGCAGACGCGGGCGACCCCTGTGAAAGGAAATAAAAGAAAACATTTATTAACGTACCATTACGAGGGAGCGCCTGGGCCTGGGCTGTCGCACGCCCCGCGGAACACTTGGCTCCTTCCAGCTCGAAGGGAGGAGAAAAACAAAGCGAAAAAGAAGCAAGAATCTCTTCGTTTGCAGCTGGGTGGACCTGATCGGTGGCCCTCCTGACTTTATTACAGTATTTGACTGATTAGAGATGCCTCCCGCCCCCCCCCCCGTTGGTGTGGCGCGCGCGCACACACACACACACACACACACTCACGGTTCGGGCTCGCGTCCCTCCCTCCTTCCTAGCTCCTGGGTGAATCCCACATCTGTTTCAACTCTGCGCCGAGGGCGAGACCGGAGCGAGTGTGTGTCGGGTGAGTGTGCGTCCGTGTGTCCCGCCGAGGGTGCGCGCCCGGTGCCGGGAGCGCGGCCGGCCGGGTCCAGAGGCATCGGGACGCTGAGAGCGGCAGGGACCTGGCTCGCCCCCCCGTCCGGGACCGGACTTCGGGGGCAAAGGCCGTGCGCCGGGGCAGCTGGGCCGCGCGTCCCCGAGCCGAAGGTAAAGCGCCGCGCAGTCCTCGTCTCCGGCTCCCCGCCGCCCGCGGTCCCTGTCCCTAGCTCCCTGGCTCCCCGCCGCCCGTGGTCCCCGACCCCGACGCTCCCAGCCCGGCGTTCCCTCCTCCGCGCGGAGGCCGGCAGCTCGCAGGAGGCGGGGGCCTGGCCGCGCGG